AGGTTCTACTCTGGTTTACTCAGGCTGCTTTTGAAATTGTAAGATCAAGCAATCCACATATATCTTACTGTATGTAAGATATAAAAAAATTGTTTATCCCCCAGTCTTCCAAGAAACTACTAGAAAATATGGTCCACCAAAATGAGGGAATAAATGAAGAAACAGAAAGACACAGGATACAAGAAACAGGAAACCAACATAAGAGTCAAAAGGAGTCATCAGTATAGGTAAAGAAAGATTCTGGGATGATACTGCACCAGAAACCTGCCAGCCCGCAGGCTCCAGAATAGACTTCTTCAGGAGTTTAAAATTGATAAAATATGTCTGAGTGTATTGTGAGAAAATTTAATCAACTGATGAAGGGTCAAATTAGTCATAAGTACAGAAGCAGACAAAACAAATATAACCAATATAACAAATGATTAATTTCAGGGAAAACAAAGGAAAAATAATCAGTTTACTACATGGCTGAGTTTTGATTATTATTTACATGGTCATAATAATGTACAATGAAATTACCATATAAATATATTAAGATGTTAAAAAGACAGGACTGAGATTGTGTGTGGTAGGGGCAGGCAAATAAACTTAAATTCTCATTCTCAACAAAAGAAAAGCAGTAGAAAAAATTGATAAATCAAGAAGAAGCAATACAGTTGTGTTATTTAAAAATATAGAAATAGGGGTGGCGCCTGTGGCTCAGGGAGTAGGGTGCCAGCCCCATATACCAAGGGTGGCAGGTTCGAACCCAGCCCCAGCCAAACTGCAACAAAAAAATAGCCAGGCATTGTGGTGGGTGCCTGTGCTCCCAGCTACTTGGGAGGCTGAGGCAAGAGGATCGCTTGTGCCCCAGAGTTTGAGGTTGCTGTGTGTTATGACACCATGACACTCTGCCAAGGGCAACAAAGTGAGACTCTCTCAAAAAAAAAAAAAAAATTCAAGTTTTATACAAAAGATTATGAATCAGAATGGCTTATGCTTCACAACAGCAGTTCTGAAAACTATAATCTATAGTATGGCTTCAAAATATTTAAGATAATCATTTCCTAGAAATCTATACCCAGCCAAACTATCAAATCCAGTGTTTGGGTAGAAGAGTCATTTTCATATACAGTAGAACTTCTGTAAGTTGACCACCCAACGGACTGTAATAAACTGGTCAACATATAGAGGTGGGCAACATAAGAAACTAGGCCCGCTGTACTGATATGTACATGTAGTGCATGTCTGATGGTCAATTTAAGGAGGTGGTCAATGAACAGAGGTGGTCAACTATGGAGGTTCTACT